TTACTAATTCTCCCTTTTGGCTGGCATTAATTGAAGGTGGTCACAGTGCCGCCCGCAAGGAACTAAGTGCGGGTGTTCTATTAAATGTTGTGACTACGTTGGAATGTGTGTTCAGTGTGCAATTACAGATTCCAAAGTACTCCTGCCCAGTTTTTCAGCGGTCGAATGTGTGACCGCCTATTAGGTCAACCATTCTAATGCTTTGTCGCCTGTTCCAAGGCAGATCGGCTCACTGCGCATGTGAGGGAGAACCGATATTCCTTGAACAGCTGATCGGTCTCATGTCTCATAAATATGGAAGCTAACAAAATAAAGCTGGCTATACACCTATACATTTTCTATGGTCCTCCATCTGCGCCAAACTGTGTGGATAGAGGAATCTCCAGCTGGGCCAAGCCTCAGAATCTTGCTAGTCGGCCTGCTGGGTGTCAAAATACCTTAACAATCTGATTGGATGCAGGCATTGTTTAGGTATTTTGAGAGCCAGCGGGGTCGACTAGCAAGAAATTGAAGCTTGGTCCAGTGGGAGATTCCTTCATCCACAGTTTAGCGTAGATGGGGGAATCTGTTGCACTTTTTCTATCTGACCATTGAAAATCTGTGTATGGCCAGCTTAATTATGTTTAGCATAATTGTCAGAGCTTTGGAAGCAAACATTATGAATTTTTAAAGGTTATACATTTTTAAATTCAAAAATACCCATGTTTGATGCTTTGCCCAAGGTACACAAGTTGATCAGTGATCCACCAGAAAGACCGATCATCTCTGGCCAGGGGTCTCCAACTGAGAAAATAAGTGTGTATTGGTCCTAGTCCTATATTACAGAAGTTTGTCCCTAATCTTATATTGTATGTGAATAAAAACATCCTATTACTATGGCCATAGAAGTTTGTTTGTTCACCCAACAGGATTGTGGACTAAAAGCAATAGGAAAGATTTTACAAACAAGATCTATTCATGTGGAGGGACATTGTCACTTTGTAGTGGATTTTTTAAGATTCTTACACACAAAAAATGTTTGCCCAGGGTACTGCAATGGTAAACCAGTTACTTGATTGCATCTGTCCAAGATGTTAGCTTGGTACAAATACATCAATGAAGTATTGATTTGGTGTTACCATGGAGGCGAATTCATAGAATAAAATTCACAAGTTGTTGCAACCCTAAGAGTCACATTTCTGGACATAACTATTGAAACAACTCTGTTGCTCTACTGCTACTATTAGCCTCCTCCATGCGGACAGATTTTATCCCCATACAATGATAAAAAAACATTCCCGACTTTGAAAAGGAGGCAAAATTATTGAGATCTAGGTTCAAGTATTGGGGTGGTGGTAGAAGAGGTGGTCAAATCAAGCCTATCCGCGAGCCACATAAAGCATTGGGGAGGGTCTCCTACATAGGAACGGAAATAGAACAGTAAGACAAAGACAAACAGGTTAGGTTAAGTTTAAAATTTTCTAATAATACTTATAAGGTACATGATATTTGTGCCAAACATTGGCACTTACTATTGAACAATGCTGTAATAAAAAGACATCCCCATTTGGCCAATGCCTTTTTAGGAAAGCTGAGTCACTTAAGGATATTTTGGTACACAGTGAGATTTTATATAAGCGCATTATTATTGCCCCTCCATGTTGGCGTTACAATCTCTACAATTAACTATAGGCAAATATCTGAAGTGCAATAGCTATGTCGCCTGTAATATGGCGGAAGGGATATGTGTGTTAATGTGCACATATGGGGAATACAATAAAACAGATCATGACCATATGAATATTATAACATTCTATTTACTCACCAGTTGCTAGACACTTCATATTTGAGCATAATGGGAATCTTAATCTTGAGGTGTTTGGTTATGGAGAAGGTAACTAGAAACCCATGAGGGGGAAACTTTGATCAGGTTGTGTAGTAGAGGGAGTCCATGTGGATTTGGGATACGGATGCTACAAATCCCCCGGATTCAATGAGTCTTTGGTCTTAGCTCCTTCATGGGAGATAAAGATTTATGATGTTGTGAGATTGGACAATGTGATAGACGGACCACAAGAGAATAGTGTAATGTTTTTGTATGTAAATGTGAAGATATAAATGTATCAATATACAGGACTACATTGGACTTGAATATTGTCCTTGGATTGGGATATGCGAGGGGGGGAGGGGGGAGTGTGTGCTAGAGGTGGCACTGTCTCCATTATATCTATACTGTTGTGCAGGTACCCACTGGATGCTTGATGGTTACAGTGGTACATGCGCAGCTCTTGGACCTTTTTCTGATATCTCTGGGCATGCGCAGTCCACAAGTGCTGAGACACGTGTGCAGTGACGTGAGAGTTTGGGACTGTGTATATGACATCATTGTGTCACTCTGGACCCGGTAGTGGAAGCTGAGGAGCTGAGAGAGACTGGACTGAACAAAATCTTTAACATGCAAAATAGTTCATGTATTTTAGCCTTCCATAAATACAGAACTGTGAGTAAGTGGTTTTCACACTACAAGAGATTTGTTATTAGCAGGATCACTGGGTGAAAAAATGCCTTAAAAGAAACTAATGCAGTTACCACACCACTGAAGACTGGTAAGCTGCAACACATAAAACATATTTTGTAGGGTTTATATACGCTTTAAAAGCTAGTTTTCATATATTCTTAACCACTTGAAGTCCAGGGTGTTAAACCCCCTTCGCATCCAGGCCATTTTTCAGTATTCAGCGCTGCAGTACTTTGACTGACGTTTATTCCGTCATACAACGCTGTACTGAAATGAATTTGATACAATTTTTTGGGCACAGATAGAGCTATCTTTTGATGGTATTTAATCGCCACTGGGGGGTTTTATTTTTTAATATATTAAGGAAAAATGATCGAATTTAAAAAAAAACAACAGTTTCCCCTATATTAAATGATAAAACAATTTATTACCCAATTTTTTGGTAAAATATAAAGAGACTGGGTCACGTCGGGTAAATAGACACCAAATATGTTAAGCCTTAAAATTGCGCGCGCGCGAAAACTCAAAAAACTACAATACCCAAAATCGGCCATTGGCGACGCTTTAAAAGCTTTTACTGCTCATCAGTTTAGTGTTATCAGTGATTGATGGCCCTAAAATTATTGCTCTCCCTCCGACGTTCGTGACAATATGTAACATGTGCAGCGCAATTGTCGATTTCCCGCGCTGGCGCATCGAACGTTTATTTACGTTTATATGTACGTAAACGTGGTGGTGGGGGACTTAAAAATGTTTGGGGGTTTTTTTCTACGTGACTTATTTTTTTAAACTTATTATTGCTATTACATAGGGGGATAACAATCCCCCTATATAATAGCAAAGGCACACTGACAGGTCCTCTTTATGGAGACATAAGGGGTCTCTAAGAGCCCTGTCACCTGGGGACCCGAAAAGAAGATGATGAAGCACAGATCTGCTTCATCAGCTTCTTCTCTCTGTCTATAGCAGCCAGATGACTGACAGGTGAATACGGAAGTGATGTAATACACATTACTTCCGCATTCACAGCACGGAGGGAGGTAAGCAAGGAGGAAGATGCTGACCTCCCTCCCATCTTACCTCCTGACGCCCTCCCGAGCCGAAGATGGGGCAGCGGATCCCGGGATTGAAGGTGAGGCGTTAGGAGGGGGGGCGGCAGCAGCGGAATTCGAGCTGGGGGGGCACGCAGCCAGACAGCCCATACATACAATCGGCAGGCTATAGAGCCGCTGATCGTATGTATGTGAAACAGCCGGTAACGGCTGTAAAGAACGGGCCATTTTTTTTCTGCCCGTGCGCTAGAGGGCGCGCGCAAGCAGCAAAAAAAGCCGTCTAGAGACGGCAACCCGCCAATGCGACTGTGCCGTCCATCCGTTTTTTCACAACAGGCGGACGGCAACAGGTTAAAGTTATATTAAAGTCAAATTAATTTTAAGCTATTTCAAATGCTGATGAATTCACTTACAATGGAAGCTGCTCCTGTTGTTAAAAAGTTGTAGTTTCCCGCAGAATCAACTAGTCCTCCTGAGCACTGGTCCCGACTTCCTGTTTTAGAGTGACTTCTTTCTCAAGCAGAGTGCTGTACAGTCAGAGGCGGCTCTCTAATTAGGCGAGTTAGGCCTAAGGCCTCGCCCTCACGGGGGCCTCGCAGCCGCCTAACTCGCCTCCAGTGGCTAGTGAAAAAATGCCGGAGTGGTCCGGGCGGAGGCCCCTTTAAACGGCAGCCGCAGCGCCTTTTACAGCTCTCCTCCCGGCCGCTCTCTAGCTGCAGCAGCCAGGAAGGAGAAAAGCTGATTCAGCTTTCAGCTGCTCTGAATGATGCCCGCTCAGTCACCCTTGTGTGTGCGCTAGCAAGCTGTGTGCATCTCCACAAACACAGCACATCAAGCTACTCCCTTCCCCCTGGCCCCCTCTCCCCCATTCACCAAGCTAGTAGATGGATAGTTGTTGGAGTTTGCACTGTCCTTTGTGATCTTGTACTGTACAAGACGTTCAGGGAAGCTGAGCTGAGAGACTTGGAAGTAGCTGTTCAGAAACATGATGATTGAAAAAACACATGATAGTTGACTACTACTTTAAGAGATTAAATAAGCCACTACTTGCTGAACTATGAATTAGTCCTTGGCAGCACTATATACAAGGAAAGGACAAAGAAAGCAGTTTTATGATTGATGCAGGCTAATAAGCATGACACAACCACACCCATGGGAGTCATACAAATTATTATAAAGGAATGCACAAAAAACAAAAAGGAAGCATGAAAAATGTCCAGAAAAGCACAAAACATACTTTTTCTTTTATTTCCAATTTTTTGATCACTAAATGGGAGTTACATAAAGAGCAATCCAAGTTGAAAGGCAAATTAATTAAATGTAAAAGTCACTTTTGTAAGTTGCAAAGACTGAACTGGTACACAATCAGCCACTATTTGGCAACAGATTTAGTATTTTTTTGCACAGTAGTGTGTGTGTGTATATGTATGTGTATTTTTTAAAAAACCCAAAAAACAAAAAAAAAACCATTTAGGGCAGATGAATTCTAGTTTCCTCTCTTCAAGCTGTCAAATTCAACCAAAGTTGTGCAGGGCTAGCCGGAACATGTCGTTCGTACAGACCCAGACATCCTGGACATTCTTTAGTAAAAACATCTGATGAAATCCAATAACAGGGTCATCATCTGCCTAAAGAAAAAAAATACATTCAAATTATTAAAACAATTTACTGATCCTTGCAATGATTTAAAGTGACTCTAGATTTGGGCAATCCTATTTCTCAAACGGTAGGAGACAAATTATAAATAATCGAGCACTTACAGCAGTATTCTGAAGCTACTCATTTACCTTAAAAAGTGTATTTCTACTTTTGCAGTCCAGATGAGAAAACCCCTCTATGTTATGTGTGCCTATTCTCACATCATACTTAAAAAACACACACACACCATTTATTTTCATCTTTTAAATGAGTCTGTGTAGCTGGGCTTTGGAGCATCTCTGTGAAATTTCTGTCACCACAGAAAGACTCAGGAGACTCTGAGCTTCCTCTCATTAACATACAATGCTTCTAGATCTTTACCCTTTGTTAGGATAGATAGAGGGGAACTAATCAAAACTGGAGCAGACAAAATCTAGAGCAGCTGTGCACAGCAGCTAATCAGCTTCTCTTTCATTTTAAAATATTTACCTGAACAAACTGAGGAGAGAAGCTGTTTGGTTGCCATGCGCAACTGCTCCAGATTTTGTCTGCTCCAGTTTCGATAAATTCCCCTCTTAGTGTTAATATTTAGTTTACAACTAATGAGATCTGCCAGCAGAGTATATATAGCAAGGTTTAATTAGGTTAAAGATAAACTCCCCACCTCCCTTGCATTCTAGAGGGAAATTAACTTCTGTTATACTATATGAATGGGAACATGTAACAAATATAATATAAGTGTTATTCCAAATTGGCTGCCAAATTGGAAATACACCAAGTCCAATTTCTCATCTACTGCACAGTGTCTCTGCAGAGCTACTCTTCCTGTTGCTAGACTTGGCACCCAGATGACAGACAATGTAAATCCGTAAATAAAAAGGAGTAGTGGATGCGGTATGCTAGTCACACTCCTGAGGCTTCTTTGGGCTAGAATAGAGGGTCCCTAGGCACTGTCATCAATGCTGTGCTGCTTCTAACCAGATATAAAATGCTATTAGGTACAGTTATTTACAGATTGCATTGCCACATTCAGTCCTGGTTCACACCTGGGCGTTTTTCAGCGCTGATCGAAGCACTGAAAACCCATAATTTCCTATGGGCATGGTCTCTACGCGCTGAAATACACCCTACACCCAAACAAGTACAGGAGCTTCTTTTGTGGCGTATTTCCACGCGTATCCATTGGTATTCCCGAGTGTGGCTCTGGGTTAACAAAGCGGTAACCCCGAGTCACACTTGGGAATACAGCGTAGGTCTTACCTTGTCCGCGATCCCCGCTGTGTCCTCCGGCCGCTGCCGGCCCTTGCGAGCGACCGCGTTGCGGGGGGGCCGAACCAGCGGGAAGTTTGAAAGTATAAAAATGAAAAAATACAAAATCATACCGCCAGGGAGGTATAAAAACGAGCGTCGAACGCGCGTTTCACAGAAGTAAAAAATGTCCTAAAAACTAGCTGAAAAAAAACACACAAACTGCGCCTATAGCAACGCCCAGGTGTGAACCCAGCCTCAAATGTGCTCATTGATCTCTGTAACACAGCCACGCTTTAGATGGTATGTACAAGTCCACCCGAACAACGTAAAATATGAAACATGCACACAGCCCAAAATGTAGTCTGAAATACAGGATAAAGACCCACATCATGCATACTAATGGAAAACAAATGTCGAAAATCACATTTATCTATAGGATTCAAAGAGTACAACCCCAATTCCAAAAAAGTTGGGAGTCGGGACACTGTGTAAAATCTACAAAAAAAATAGAATGCATTGATTTGTAAATCTCATAAACCTGCGCTGTTTTATTCACAATAGAAAAAACATATAAAATGTTTGAAATGAGAAAATGCACCATTATAAGAAAAAAAAATAAGGTCATTTTCAAATTGATGGCAGAAACATTAGTCAAAAAAGATGGAAGGCCATGTAGCATCCCCTCTTTTAACCCTTTCCTGCCAGCGCCGTAAGGCATATGGCGGAACAAAACTGTTCCCAGCTGGCCAGGTCAGTATGCCTTACGGCGCTGGCATTTGCAGTTCTGCTATAAGCTCATGGTCGCTTTAGCTCAGGAGACGGTTCTTAAATAGCTGTCATTAGCGGCTTAACAGGCCGCTGATGACAGCTGTTAACTAAAATTCCACGCATACCCCGAGCCCCCTCCGATGGCCGCTGGCATTTTCCCAGATGCCTGCCTGGAGCCGCTCCAGGCAGGGATCTGTGTCGGCATGGATCCCCGCTGCTCTCCCCTGCTTGTATTGGCTGAGGCAGCGGAGATCTTTATCGAAATGGCCAGCAGGGGGGCGCAGGAACGAGCTGCTCGATCACGGTGATTAAGCAGCATGAGAGCAGCCCAGCGTCATCCACGGAGAGAGCAGCCGCTGTCATCCAGTCAGTTTCCGGGGATGACAGCGGCTGTGTGCGTGGCCGAGCGGAGGGTCGGTAAATATTGGTGATATTTACCGGTCCTTTGTGTGAAGAACAAACACCGGAGTGATCGTCTGATCACTCCAGTGTTTGTAAATAACTGGGGACGCATTGTACTATGTGTCCCCAGTATGAATGAACAGGGTGTGATTTACATCACTTCCTGTTCATTCATGAATTTCTCAAATGGGGAGTAGCACTCAGTACAGAGGCTCCTCCCCATTCAGAAACTGCTGATAGTAAATTACTATCAGTAGTTTCTGAATGAATGGGAAGCCTCTGTACTGAGGGCTTCCCATTCATTGAGTGCTGAGGCTGCAGAAAAAGAAATTGGAGCACTCTGCGTCCTCAATTTCTTTTTCTATTTCAAAAGGGAAGTGTCAGGGTGTTGCAATTAAATATACACCTGTATCATTTTATCACAACACAAACACAGCGCAAAAACTATTTAACATAATTCGCTTAGAGTTTTGCGGTACTTCATTTTTTTAACTTTTTTTCAAAAATATTTGTTATTTATTAACTCAATACAGTTTTATCTTTTAGATTTAGTCATCATTTTTTTTGTGTGTGCACTGATACTGAATTTAGGGCTTTATCAATTGAATTGTGTATTTTTATCGGTTTATTATTAATTTGAGAAACATTTGCTCAATTATCACAGGGCCTACAAATTAAGTAGCACCATCTTTTTATTCTGCCGGGCCTGTGCTTTCAGAAAACATATGGTTTGGGGGAGCGGGGTCTTTTACAAACGGTAGCAACGTAGCAGTTGAAAATCAAATCAATGGCAAAAATGGTGTGCCCAGCTGAGTTGCAAAATGTTCCGGAGGGCATAGCAGTGAAAGGGCTGACAACACTCTGTAAATGTTTGGGAACTGAGACGACCAGTTGTTGGAGTTAGAGAGGGATGATGTCCCATTCTTGCCCGAGATAAGATTCGAACTGCTCAACAGTTCTGGGTCTGTCATATTTTTGGTTTCAACATGTGTCAAAGATTTTCAATTGGTGAAAGGTCCGGACTGCAGGCAGGCCAGTTAAGCACACAGACTCTTCTACTACGAAGCCATGCGGTTGTCAAAGATGCAGTACGTGGTTTAGCATTGTCCTGCTGAGATATGCAAGGTCTTCCCTGAAAAACACTGTCTGGATGGGAGCATATGCTGCTCTAAAACCTGGATATACACTAGATTACCAAAAGTATTCGGACACCTGCCTTTACACGCACATGAACTTTAATCATCCCAGTCTTAGTCCGTAGGGTTCAATGTTGAGTTAGCCCACTCTTTGCAGCTATAACAGCTTCAATTCTTCTGGGAAGGCGTCCACAAGGTTTAGGAGTGCGTCTATGGGAATGTTTGACCATTCTTCCAGAAGCGCATTTGTAAGGTCAGGTACTGACGAGAAGGCCTGGCTCACAGTCTCCGCTCTAATCCCAAAGGTAGACAGAATCAAACACCGCGCCAGCAGATTTTGGTTCATAAGAGTATTAATCAATGATGTTCAGGAGTGCATGGCGATAACGGGGCGGCTCTCACCAGGTTCAGAACAACCTCAGCACTGCAAGACAAGACACAGAGAGCCCCTCCATCTCATAAAAACTTTTTAATAAACTAAAAAAAAAAATGTTATAAAAAAAAAGGTACCAATTGGTTCTGAGGAAGGAGGCGTGGCCTCTGAAACACGTAAACCACTTCACTACCATGGAAGACTTACAGCCAGGGCATATGCACCTTTCGTTCTGACCCTTTTATGCCTGTTTTTATCCATCCTTTGTACCTTTATACCATTTTTTTAATTTGTTTATTAAAAAGTTTTTATGCAATGGAGGCGCTCTGTGTCTTGTGTTGCCATCCCAAAGGTGTTCTATTGGGGTGAGGTCAGGATTCTGTGCAGGCCAGTCAAGTTCCTCCACCCCAAACTCACTCATCAATGTCTTCATGGACCTTGCTTTGTGCACTGGTGTGCAGTCATGTTGGAACAGGAAGGGGCCACCTCCAAACTGTTCCCATAAAGTTGGGATCATGTAATTGTCCAAAATGTCTTGGTATGCCGATACCTTAAGAGTTCCCTTCACTGGAACTAAGGGGCAAAGCCCAACCCCTGAAAAACAACCCCACACCATAATCCCCCCTCCATCAAACTTAACACTTGGCACAATGCAGTCAGGCAAGTAACGTTCTCCTGGCAACCACCAAACCCAGACACGTCCATCGGATTGCCAGACAGAGAAGTGTGATTCGTCACTCCAGAGAACACAACTCCACTTCTCTAGAGTCCAGTGGCAGCGTGCTTTACACCATTGCAGCCAACTCTTTGCATTGCAGTTCGTGATGTAAGGCTTGGATTCAGCTGCTCGGCCATGGAAACCCATTCCATGAAGCTCTCTACGCACTGTTAGTGTGGCCTTCAGTTTGGCACAACAAGTTTGGAGGTCTGTAGCTATTGACTCTGCAGACAGTTGGTGACTTCTGCACAGTGCGCTTCAGCATGCGCTGACCCCGCTCTGTCATTTTACGTGGCCTACTACTTCGTGGCTGAGTTGCTGTTCCCAGTTGCTTGCACTTTG